GACTCCACGGCACACTACCACCACCACCACCATTTGTAATCTGTAAGCACCTTACCCATAAACAACTAGTTAATGTTATCTCTTTACCGGGGGTACAAAATTTAAAAGCATAACTTTTCGGAGTTTGGAAGCTACCCTAGAGATAAGTTTTAACTTCCCCATTTTACAGACAAAGGAAAGCAGGTCTTAGTAGTAGCAGTAACATTAAGAAACCTGAAGAAGTCCTAGCGGGTCACAAGCTGGGCTGATAACCCCAAGGTGAACATTTCGAATCTACTAGTTGCTCTGCAGTAAAAAAGATGAAGGTTTCTGCTTCCATAAAGATTTACAGCCCCAGAAACCCAATGTAGGATCACCATGAGTTCAGACCACCACTACGAACTTGGTTGGCAGTTCAAACCCATCAGCTACTCCTCAGGAAAAAGACGAGTCTGTCTGCTTGTATAGATTTACACTGTTGGATATCCTATCCTGTCCTAAGGGTCTCCGAGTCAGAACTGACAGCAGGCTTGGTTTGGTATTTACTAGGACCTTAAGGATCCCTGGTGGTGCAGTTTAGTGTTTGGCTGCTGACTAAAGGTAGACAGGTTGAACACCCTGCTGTTCCCAGGGAAAAAGATGTGGCAGTCAACTTCCACATACATTTCTAGCCTCAAAACCACTATAGGGCAGTGCTACTCTGTCCTACCTGATGACAGCATGCTTGAGTTTTTTTTGGGTTATTAGGACAGGACCTCGCCTGACCGTCTTCCTACAGATAGAATCCTTTTTATGAATTCACCATGATATAAAGGCAACACAGTCACATGCAAATTTTTGACTTATTTTTACATGCATATATATTGCACAAATTTTACATATACTTCTACAGGGATTAACCTGTACTTACTCAGACTGTGGATGCCACATTTCATACCACGGCTGGTGTTTGACCCAAAAGAACCCCAAGGATTGAAATCCAACACAGATGATGATCTGAGACAAAACGGAGAAGAGAAGGGTCCCGGATATGAGACCTGAGGGTGGTTTTTGTGCCACAAGTTCTTTCCAAGCTGGATTTAAACTCACTATATTGGGAAGAAAAGAGGAAAGATTTGTAAGTAAATCAATGCCACTATAAAAGTCATAATTTTAAAAATGCTAAAAAGTGCAAGGTTCGTTTCAACTGCAAGAACAGCAGTTCAAACTCACTAGCCGCTCCTCAAAAACTCTATACATGGTCGCTAGGAGTTGGAAAATGTTAAATAAAGGCAGATAAACTTTAAGATTATTACCACTGCTGTTTATATTTAACTGCGAATTCATCATTTTCTGAATCCTTAATTGCAAAGTATTATGGATTGAACTGTGTCCCCCCAAAATGCTGCCGCTGTTGTTAGGTGTCATTGAGTCGACTATTGAACTCATAGTGACCCTAGAGGCACAACAGAAAGAAATACTGCTGGTCTTGTGCTTATTTCATTGCTGTTATCACTGTACCAATCTATCTTGTTGGGAATCTTCCTCTTTTTTTGCTGACCCTGCACTTTACCAAGCATCATATCCTTCTCCAGGGACTTTTGTCCCTTCTGATGGATAACATGTCTGATGTACAAAAGACAAAGTCTCACCATCCTGGATTCTAAGGAACATTCGGGTTGTTGTTCTTCCAACATAGATTTGCTTGTTTTCCTGGGAGTCCATTAGGGCTATTAATATTTTTCTCCAAAACCATGTATCAAATGCATCAATTCTTCTGTGGCCTTACACAAAAGAATGAAACTGCCCAATCTTAAGCCACTGTCACAATCATTGCTACACTTGAGCTCACTGTTGCCGCCACTGTGCCAATCCATCTCATTGGTAGTCTTCCTCTTTTGCACTGACCTTCCATTTTGCCAAGCATGTTGTCCTTCTCCAGGGACTGGTCCCTACTGATATGTGTAAAGCACAAGAGCAAACTCTGACCATCTTGGTTTTTAAGGAGTTTTCTGGATGTCCCTCTTCTAACACAGATGTGTTTGTTCTTCTGGCAGTCCATGGTATATTGAATATTCTTCTCCAACACCAAATGCATCAATTCTTCTGTGGTCTTCTTTATTTATTGTCTGATTTTCACATGCATATGAGGCTATTAAAAACATCATGGGTTGGGTCAGGTGCATCTTCATCAAACTGACATCTTTGCTCTTGAACTATTTTCCTTTTAAAACTTGCAAATATATTTTATTAAGAGGGAAGACTCTCTTAACTGTGACAAAATGACAGAAGTGTTACTAGTACAGTTGAAAGAATAATAAATTCTTCCTCAGCATTTCTGTTGTTCCCCCATTTCACCTCTCAGGGTCAGAGTGATATATTCAGTACACAAATATTCACTGAGGTTTTCATGTGTGCCAGGTGTTGTACTACACACTGGGAATACTTTCAAACTCTTGAACATTTTAACTCTTGTATAGCAGATTTGCTTAATGCAATACGTCACTTGATTTCTTGACTGCTGAATCCATTAGTGTTGATTGTAGATCCAAGCAAAATGAAATTTTTTACACCTTTGATCTTTCCTCCATTTGTCATGATGTTATTTATTGGTCCATTTGTGTGGCTTTTTCTTTTCTTTTCATTACAGTGCAACCCATACCAAAGGCTGTGGTCTTGGATCTTCATCAGTGAAGCATGTCATGATCCACACATTCAAAGCCTTTGTCAAGACAATAAAGCACAAGTAAACATCTTTATGGTATTCTCTGCTTTCAGCCAAGATCAGAAATGAGATTCCCTGGTTCATGTCCTCTTCTGAATCTGACTTGAAATTATGGCAGTTACCTGTTGATGTATTGTTGTTGCAGTGGGTTTTTGAATTATCTTCAGCATGAGTTTACATACATGTTGGATAATTTCTGCATTCCTAAGGATCACCTCTCTGTGGAATGGGCACAAATATGACTCTCTTCCAATCAATTGGCCAGGTAGCTGTCTTCCAAATTTGTTGGTATAGATGAGTGAGTGCCTCCAGTGTTGCATCAATTTGTTAAAAGATTTCAATTTATATTCCATCAATTTCTCGAGCCTTTTTTTTCTGCCAATGCCTTCAGTGCAGCTTGGGCTTTTTCCTTTAGTACAATCAGTTATATGCTATCTCTTGAAATGGTTGAACATTGACCTTTTTTTTGTTACAGTGACTCACAATGTTTAAAAAAAAAAAAAAATGTATTCCTTTCATCTTCTTTTGCATCATTCAATATTTTGCCCATTGTTGTTGTTGTGAAGTGCCATCGAGTCGGTTCCGACCCATAGCGACCCTGTACAGGGTTTCCAAGGGTGTAAATCTTTACGGGAGTAGAAAGCCTCATCTTTCTC